TGCTTACTGGAACCTCAGAAAGCAGGAAGATGTAAAAGACTAAGACATGCTTAGTTATTGCAAATCTCAGAATCACCGGTGTGTACAGTTGAGGTAGAAATGGCAAGAGGCTGAAGGTATGAGTAAGTCCAGATCATAGGGGGCACTGTATGACATAAAGAAAATTTAGACATTCTTCTATAAGACAGCTTTGTCTAAACTGATGCAGCAAACTCACCTCAACCACATCAGCTCTGTTTCATCTATTCAAGTTACTTATATTTCCATAGAAGACTTTTAAGTTGGAAAAATCAATAAAAATAGGCAGCAGAGAGACACTGATAGATTTCATACAGCAGAATGATGTGACTGGCTACAACATGCTAAATGGCATCGGAGGGTTGGATATCATTAATAAAGAGGTTTTAAGCTTAGCTAGCAGAGAAATGACAAGGGACTAAACTAAGGAAGTGACAGTGAGATGAAAAGAAGTGGATATGGCAGAAAGATACTAAATTTAAGGGAGATCAGTGAAATTTTGTTTTCAAACTACACAGCACAGTGCCTGGGATAACTCAATACATGTAAACTATCATCATTATCATCTATAGAACCTGGTAGTTGAACAAATGTGGAAGGTAAAGAAGAGACTCAGCAATAAAGGAGAATAAAATCATGGCATTTGCAGGTAAATGGATGGAGTTAGAGAAGATAATGCTATATGAAGGTAGCCAACCCCAAATAACCAAATGCTGAATGTTTTCTTTGATATAAGGAAGCTGATTCATAGTGGGATAGGGAAAGGGAGCATGGGAGGAATAGACGAACTCTAGATAGGACAGAGGGGTTGGAGGGGAAGGGAGGGGACATGGGGTTAGAAATGATGGTGGAACGTGATGATCATTACTATCCAAAGTATAGGTATGAAGAAATGAGTTGGTGTGAATATACTTTGTATACAATCAGAGATATGAAAATTTGTGCTCTATATGTGAAATAAGAATTGTAATGCATTCCACTGTCATATACAAATAAAAAAAGAAGAAGAAAAAAATCAACAGAAGTTTCCAAGTGTCTGATAGATAATGTTGCCATTCAAAAAGAATAGGAACATAAAGCTCTTTGGGGAGATATTGTGCATTTTGAGACAAGGACAAGGAAGATGATACAGCATTAACCATGCTAAGTTTAAGATACTACTGTGGAATAGCTAGACGAAGATGTTAAACCGCAGGATATATGGACCTGGAGCTGAGGACAAACTCAGATTAGGAGACATGAATAACAGAGAGAGCAACCATTACCCTCAAATAGTGGTGCCTATTTGGGCCACTCAATCTAAACTTTGTTCTAGGAGAATAATAGACCCTTATTTCCTACTAGTTGCAAAAAGCAACTCAAATGGTTTAATGAGTTACATGTAATACTTAAAACTATAAAACGACCAGAAGAAAACATAGGGGGAATCCTTTAAGACATTGGAACATGCAATAATTTTCTGGGTAAGACCCAAAAAGTACAGGAAATAAAAGCAAATATAGACAAAATGGATTACATCAAATGAAGTTTCTGTACTGCAAAGAGAACAATCAATACAGTACAAAGCAACTCTACAGAATGGGAGAAAATAATTTCAAAAAATACACATGAAAAGGGTTAATACCCAGAATGTATATGGAACTCCAAAAGCTTACCAGCAAAAAATAAATAAAAATAAACTGATTAAAATGGGCAATTGACCTAAATAGACATTTCTCAAAGGATGACACAAATGGCTACAAGGTATATGAAAAAAAAATGTTTAATATCACTAATGCTCAGGAAAAATAAAAATTGATACCATATGAGGTATTACTTCACTCCAGTAAGAATGGCTATTTTCAAAAAGATTAAAGATAAATGAATGCTGACAAGGGGATGTAAAAAAAGGGAATCCATGCACACTGGTAGTGGGAATGTAAACTGGTAAAGCAATAATGGAAAACAGTATAGAGAATCCTCAAATTTTGAAAATAGAACTACCATGCAATCTAGCAATCAGGATGTCATAGGGATATCTGCAATTCCATGTTCAGTGCAGCCAAGAAATGAAAACAACCTAAGTGTGGTCAACTGATGAATGGATGAAGAAACTGTGATATACAGCAACAATTAAGAACTTTTTGGCAAAAAAGGAAAATGAAATCCTCTCATTTGCAACAACATGGATGGAACTGAAGATCAATTATGTTAAGTGAAATAAGCCAGGCACAGAAAGAAAACTACTGCATGATATCCTTCATGTGAAATTAAAAAAATTGAAGTTGAGAATAAAATGTTATCTCTAAGGCCACAGAAAGTAGAAGGAGGGAAGAGAAGTTGATCACAGGATACTTTGTCAAACAGCAGCTAAGAAATTCTGATGTGGTAAAAGATAGTAACAAAGTATGATATAATTCAAAAAGCTAGAAGAAAGGATTTTGTGTTCTCAACATAACAAAATAAAAGAGATGTTTAACCTGATTAAAATATTAATCAATGTACACATGTATCAAAACATCAGATGGAAGACTAGATGTAGAGTTCAATGAAAGATCACTTTCCTTGCATGGATGAGGCCCTGGGTTCCATCCCCTGCACCCCAACTCTCGCGATCACATGGTATCTCACAAATGTGTATAATTTTTATGTTTTCCATATCAGTTAAAAAATAAATTTAAATAAATTTTTAAATGTCAAATAAAAGATCTGGGAGAATCTAGTATTTACATGTATCTAAACTCTTAAAAGCAAGCTTGAATATTTACAAGATAAGAAAAAAAAGGTTCTGACACTTTGAAATTTTATCTTTTTTAAGTTCTAAGGTCTTAAGCCAACCACAGTATGGAGCTTTTTAAATTGAGTCACTGTTTCTTACAGTAAGATCTAGCTTCTTATACTATTAATAAAACTCTATTTTTTATAGTATCAGTAAACCCTATGTGTTTTCTAAAATATTCTTCATCCAGAGAAGACTCCAGGTTTGTAAAAAAAGAAAAGAAATTTAAATCTAAAGTTAAACATATACTAGCTTGGCAAAATTCAACAAAATTACTTAACTTATCCTTGCCTCACATTCCCCACTTGTTTAATTTGGTTGATACCATCTACCTTCCCTTGGCTTTGATGGGAATTAAATTACATATGTAAAGAAACTAATATGGTAACGAGCATATAATATGAGCTCATCAAGTAATAACTTTTACTAACTCTCCTATCTTCAAGAAATTAACAGGAACCATTTTAATTTCAAATTAACTAAGGCTATCATAAATAAATCTGTCTGTATGTGTGCATTAAACAATTCATACAGGTAATATACCTGAGCTTTTAAGGTGGAAGATATTTTGGCATGTAAATCCATAATAATTTTAAAAAGACTCAATTGAGATATTAACACAAGCAGCTGTGCATACAATAATGAGAAGAGAATTCTAAAGGCAGGCTTCATATGAAAACTGAATAAAAAGAAGTAGTAGTAATAGTAGTAGTAGTAGTAGTAGTAGTAGTAGTAATTGAAGAAAAGTAAACCCAATTTAGAAATCCTGGATTAACCATTGGATAATAACCAAGATGTTAATATGCTTTCAAAATAAATTTAGAAAGGGTTAAATGTAAATTAACTAATGCTAATTTTAGATTTCTACATATTGAACAATGAGATAATATATGGGAAGTCAGTATACAAATCTATTGATATTTTGTTTTCTGGAATTCTGGAACATATTGCAATTAATATCTAACAGAAAATGTAAAATTAAATTTCTTGCTATTCTATTCCTATTCAAGGAATAACTGAAGTGTCAAGATATAATAGTCAAAACATTATATATACAAATGGAAGATTAGGGGTTTGCTTTAGGGGAATGTTTGAATACAGAAATTTTAAAAATGCTTTATCTTAAACCTGAGTTTTTCATTAACATCCTTTTTATCATCACATTTAAAGTAAAACATAATTCCAGACCTTTTTTTTTTTTATTTTTCGCTTTTTTTATTAACTGAGGACTGAAGCCAAGGGCATTGAACCACTGAATTATATCACCAGCCTCTTTAAATTTTGAGACAGGGTCTTGCTAAGTTGCTTACGGCCTTGCTACATTGCTGAGACTGGCCTCAAACTTGCAATCATCCTGCCTTAGCTTTCTGAAATACTGGGACTTCAGAATTACGTGCCATGGCACTCAGCTTAGACATTTTTTCCTAGTTAAAATTTTTCTAAGTTTAAATTTTGATGAACAAAACCACATACTCAAATCTCTTGGCCAAATTTTACAAGCAAATATGAAGCTTCAAACACAATACACAGCCAAGTGTGGTGTTGCATGCCCGTAATCCCAGCAGATTAGGAGGCTGAGGCAGGAGGATTGTATGTTCAAAGCCAGCCTCAGCAACTTAGTGAGGCCCTAAGCAACTTAGCAAGACCCTGTTGCAAAATTAAAGACCCTGTCTCAAAATTAAAAAGAGAAAAAAGGCTAGGAATGTATTTCAGTGGTTAAACACTCTGGGTTCAATCCCTGGTACCAGGAAAAAAACAAAACAAAACAAAAAAGAATACATATATGGCTTGTATACACCCATGCGCTCATATATATATAAGACAGATGTGAGATTTATAAGCCTCTTGGAGAATTATTTATTATTTACAAAGAAAATCACTGTAAAGAAAATAAAATGATGCATTTGGCTTCCTCTCAAAAAAAAATAGATACCTATTTTAAAGCTTATAATTATACTAAAATTCACATTAGATTTATATTAAAAGTTACAGACAATATATTCTTAATATATATTAATATATTATAATTACTATATAATAAGTGTTATATATTTCACATGTTATTGGTAAAAATTAACTCTGACTCATTTTCTATCTTAAGAAGTTTAGATAATATATAAATATACACATACACACATCTAGAGGCATATGTGTGTGTTACTGAATTTCAATTTTGTATAGAGAATTTTAGGAAGTATTAAATGCTACCATTGATAAAACTTACGAATCAACATGCAGAACCCTCTGGCCACTCCTTGAACATGCAGCCGCAATGATGGATTCAGGCAAACCTATAAAAACACACACCTATATCATTTAGAATGTAGAAATATATATTTATTTTACATAAAATGTTCAATTCATGCTATCACAGTATAGAATAGCTTACCAAGAGACCCAACCTTGTATTTGAAATTGTAAAATCTGTATTAATTTCACTTTTAGATATTTCCCTTTTTTAATTTTTTAGTTGTTGGTTGACCTTAATTTATTTACTTATATGTGGTGCTAAGAATTGAATCCAGTGCCTTACACATGCTAGGCTAGCATGCTACCAACTAAGCCATGACCTCAGCCCTAGACATTTTTTAAATACACTAACACTGAAATTTTTATTACGTGGTAGAAATAGTCTATAAAAACAAGAACTTAAATTATTTTTACCTGAAAATCATCATAATGAGCAACTAAAGGCATAATGTTCATATAGAGTTCTATTATTAGGAACCATGTTAACATACTAGTTAATCTGATACAACTGCACTGAGAGATAAGAATCTGATACAGTCTAGAAAGGAAAAAGAACCTGGGGTTCAAATATGTTAACTTTGTTGCTCACTGCTTAAAAATAAGATTATAGAGTTGAAATCTGAACTCAAATCTAAATCCAAAGCCACAATGCTTCTAATGCAGAATACCTCACATTTTTTAGTTACAGAAATACGTTAGTTTCTTGGCCAGGTGCAGTGGCGGACGCCTGTAATCCCAGCGGCTCAGGAGGAGGAAGCAGGAGGATGGCGAGTTCAAAGCCAGCTTCAGCAATTTAGTGAGGTGCTAAGCAACTCTGTAAGACCCTATCGCTAATAACATACAAAATAGGGCTAGGGATGTGGCTCAGTGGTCAAAATTAAAAAGAGAAAAAGGGCTTTGTTTTCTGGAATTCTGGGACATATTGCAATTAATATCTAACAGAAAATGTAAAATTAAATTTAAATCAAAGTTCAATCCCTGGTACCACCCCCCCAAAAAATTAAAGAAATATGAGGCCACTTAAAATATGTATTATTTTCCTTTTCATTCAGTACAGCAGTATGAAAAGAAAACATTACTGTTCTGGAGTCAAATGTAGTCATGCCATAAAGCTGATTATCATATAATGAAATATATATTATGACTATCAGTATGAACAAAAATTAAGCTACCAAAGATAATGCTTTTCTAATAAAAATAAATTCAGGTTTTGTGCTACATTAGATAGTTAAATATTCTATGCTGTAAGATGCTTCCATAACCTTTTATCACAAGATCTGCCATTTAAATGGAGGCTATTAAAATCTTTTATATCAGTCATACAAATAAATCATGTTTTTAAAGTTTACTGCAACTCTATAGAGTTACCACTACCGTGAGACATCTTGACTCTCCTGTATTTTTACTTTATGGTAGAAAAAGATACCACCATTTTTTGGCAAGAGTATGAACTACATACTGAGTGTCAAGGATTTTTAGGAAAAGGGGTTATCTTCTTTATGTAAAAAGTAATACGTACATGGAAGGAATTGTCACAATCTGTACTTAAAACCACATTAAACACAAGGTCAATCTACCTTTAAGAACTAGTTTTTCAGGGTTGAATACTTTGAGGGCATATAATATTTGGCTGAAAAAAAGAAGTTCTGACCAAATGTACTGAATATAACCATTAAACATCAGTTATCAGAAAGAAGCCATCATAAAGTGCCAACATTAACTTTGGATATATTTTTTTTACAAAACAAGAATTTTGAGTAGAAAGAAATTTTTCATGTTAAGACTATCTGAAATTTTTGTTCTGCTTAAAGAAATAATTTTCTTTTAATTAAATGTAATCACTATGAACCTTTAAAAGCCAATACACAGCTTAGTTCAAAGGGTAACAGCAAAAAATTACTTAGGAAAAAGAATTAGCAAGTTAAAGACCAATGCTTTTACATGTAATAATAGTATTACCAAACCCACTTATATTATAGGGTTTTACACTTCACACCATATTTTAGTGTACATCATCTCATGTATTTCTCATTATAATCATGTGAGGCAGGAAGTAATAGCCATGTGAGGAAATGAGTTTGAGCATGTTGCCAAATACCAACTTATACAATATTGCCAATTCAAAAACCATGGGAATTCACTATCTCAGACTTGGACAGAAGTTTGAGACTAAGTACTTAAGGGCAGTACTGGCAAAACAATAAAATGGGCATGGTCTCAATCTGACAGACCTTGCTTTGAATCTTAAGATTACTATGCAACCTCAGACAAGTCATTGACTTGTCTTTGTTTCTTCATTAATGTGAGTATTGCCATCTACCTTATAGTACTGTTCAGTTGTTAGCAAGGGTAGTTACCAAATGAATGCCAACTACATTTTTTTTTTTTTGGTACCTGGGATTTAACTCAGGGGCACTGAACCACTGAGCCAAATCCCCAGCCCTTTTGTGTATTTTACTTAGAGACAGGGGCTCACTGAGTTGCTTGGCACCTCTCTTGCTGAGGCGAGCTTTGAACTCAAAATCTTCCTGCCTCTGCCTCCTGAACAGCTGGAATTACAAGCATGTGCCACTGCACCTGGCCTATCTACTCTTATCCTTCAGAAAATATTTTAGATTCTAGCTCTAGTGGCAGACAATAATATTACTCTTCTCCATTTGGCTCAAAATACCTATGACTTTGGGTAGGCGGATATGTATGTGGTTATATTCATGCCTATAATCAACACTAACAGAAGTCAAGTCTCTACTGATGAAGCAATGCCAAAATGGATTTCAATTCTGAATATGATTTGAGTTCAGATTATATAAAACCAAAATGACTATCATTTGTGTTTTTCCTTAATTCTTTCATCTATACATCCCCACAAGCTTGTCAAATCAATAGGCTGTTCCAATGTTAAATGGCATATTATCTCCATTCTTAAAATAATTAAAATTACAGTGAAGAATACAGACAGCAATGTCTTTCTAGGCAAATTCTTATATTTCTTCCAACCTATTCAAAAAAAAAAAAAAAAAAGAAGTTACTTGAACACAGGAAGAAGGCATGCAGGAGATTATCTTCAACTACTTGCTTAAGAAAAGGAGAAAAAAGAAAGTGGGGGAAAATGAGAAGGCAGGAAGTCTAGAGCAGACTCCCAGGTGGTGGGAGGAAAATCATTAAGATAATTCCTAACCTGAAAAAGCTCCGAGTCTAAAGAAATAATTTAAAGAGATTAAAATAATGAATCTATTTCGGACTGTTACAGGAACACAATGGAAAGAAACATTCCCACTATAAAAGGGAGAGATGGAAAGTGCCAAAGAAGAGACACTAGCTGGATCTTTCAGGGTCTAACCACCTAAATTGAAGGGTATAAAAGTAAAAAGGAAAGTGCAAAGGAGAATTTTTGGCAAAGAGTAAAGGAAGAAAGAACCAAAAGGTAATGCTTTAAAAAAATGTGGTTGGGCAGGCTTATTTCACTTAGCATAATGTTTTCAAGGGTCTCTATGTTGCAGCTTCAGTATTTTTAATTAATGAGTATTATTTCAGTATATGGCTATATCACATTCACTTTATCAATTCTTCCACTGTTGAAAATTTATATCATTCTCACTTCTTAGTTATTGTGAACATTACTGCAGAAAATAGACTGATTGAAAGAAGACAAATAATGCATGGTTCTACCTACCTGGAATATACAAAATGGCTAATTTATACAATCAAAGAATAGAATGGTGGTTGCCAGAGGTTTGGGGAGAGGGAAATGGGGAGTTGTTAATAAATGGGTATAAAAAGTAACAATTACCCAAGAGGTATAGGTTTAAAAGATCTGTTGTACAACAATGTACTTATAGTTAACAGTGTACTATACACTTAAAAATTTCAGAGGGTAGATCTCATGTTAAATGTTCTTACTACACTAAAACAGTTTTTTTTTTTAAGGTGGCTGAAGCCAAATAGTAGAGTTATGTACTTGATCCTCTAAGCCATGGCAATCTTGAAAAGGATTTTAACCAGAATAGAATGGTCAAATCAATGTATCAGGGAAAAAGAAACTCTACTCACAGTATGGAGAATAAACCTGCATATAATTGGAGCTTTAAGTTTAAAAATAAATTCTTATTTAGGAAAACAGAACACAATTAAACCTTTTGTCTTGTTAGTAATTTGGTGAAATAAGCAAAATGACTGCATGATCTGTTTAAATTAATACCTGTAAACTTCAATTTAGTAGCATTTAAACCCGATTAATTTAAAAATAAAATCATTTTTAATGCTTAAAAAGTAAACAATGTCTGAATAACTACTCAAATTCCCACAAAGTCCTAATGAGGCATTTATATAGAACATACATAGGCTTATAATGAATTATACAATCTCTCCCACAAAGAAAAGTCAAACATGAGTTATAAACAACTCAGATCAGAGTGAGTGAATCACAGCATTTCACTGGAAACACTCCACAAAACAAATATACAAATGCAATGTTTTCATCTGTAAAATGGGAGAAAAAGGTCCAATATGATATGAAACACCTTATACGGTGCCTCTTGGCATGTTGCTAAAATTTGGTAAATGTTGAGTCTCTTCCCTCTTCCTCCTACACCTTCAGAAAGATTAGTTATTTGAGGAAGAAAAAAAAAAAGGTTATCACTTGCTTATCATTTATTTATCTTCAAAACTTTAACTTAAAATTATTATTTTAAAAGTTCCTTTTATATATGTACACAGTTGAAAATCAAACATTTGTTATCATTTAAACATTTAATATTATTAAATTCATTAGTAAAACTGTACCAAAGAACTTGGTCTTGCAATAGGATCACAGAAAACTTGCATAATTCTGATATCATATCAATAATATGGAGAAATAATTTTATTAAACATAGGTAAACATAAGATATGAAATTAGCATTTCATAAAAATTGTAATGAAGGAAATTGAGATTAGCTTCATCACACCCTTCTCAGTAAAGGTTCTGTTTTATAAAGTTGGCAACTAGCAAAAAAATACATATTTGATGTGTATGGAATGTTGCATGACCATATACCATCAA